TTTAGGGATGTTCACTTTTATGTACTAAAAGATCTCAAAATACTCAAACTTCTGTGAATTAAGGAAAACGAGTCAGAAGATACAATGTACGTGTTGAACATCATTACTTTTTTACAATTTCAATACAAGTCTTGTTATATTTAGTTCGCCATTACAGTATTTCTACCTTTAAATCCTTCGATTTCCTTGCATTACAGTATTTTTGCCCTTTAAATCCTTCGATTTCCTTGCATTACAGTATTTTTGCCCTTTAAATCCTTCGATTTCCTTGCATTTCTTTGTTTTACTTGCCTTTAAACACAGTCACTTCGTTAGACAGTATTTCTGCCCTTAAGTCCTTCGATTTCCTTGCATTTCTTTGTTTTATTTGCCTTTAAACACAGTCACTTCGTTAGAAACTTTACTTATACTTTATCCTTTTAGTCAAACACTTATCTTTACATTCAAGCCCAAGTCTAATTCGAAGCCTTTCCTGCCTACATTCTGTTAGTTTATTCCTATAGACCATTTTAGAAATCTTTCCTAAGAATCTCGTATTCGAACTTAACATACAATATAAGTCTATCAATATAATAGATATGAACATGGAAATAAGTTATGACACATGTGTTTTAGGATCAATCTAGTCGATCCTGTAAGTAACCAATAATAATTAGTCAATTGGAAGACTAGCAGTTGTTTACTAGAAATCACTGTAAACACCACCTTAGAAAAGCTTTTAGTATCGGGGGCATATGCAACTACATGTGCTTGGTTCTGATGTATATATCGAGAGCCTCTTCCCTAATTAAGAACCCGCTACTTTGCATGTATTTTGAAACATGTCTTTTGTATGTTTGGTTCGTTTACAATCACATTAGTATTTGTCACGACCATTCTTGAATGAGGATCATGAAGCTCTTTTTCCCATTGTTGTCGGCTACTAGTTATGACTCATTAGGAGGATGCTAGTTAAGCATAGAGTAGTGACATGTTTCTTCACCGCGAATGATGTAAAAAAACATCATTAAGATTAAGAAATATTTCCTTTCCTAAATTATGCATTCAATCCAACCAAGGAATCAAAGATCTGGTCCTTCTCTATAGCAACAGTAAGTATGATGGTGTTCTGACTGAGCATTATCTTCAAATTTTGGTATTGATCTAGCTCAAGCCAAAGACCTTAGAGAATCCAAAAATAGTCACCAACCGAAAGAATTCCCTTCTTTATTGAATATTTTTCTTCTTAAATCATAACAAGCATACATGTCTTGTTTGATGGAACAAGTACGATAGAGGTGGTCCCAAATTGCTAGTGCAAAGGGAAGGAACATTTAATTTCTGCTAATCCATAAAGAGATGGATTTTGAAAGCAAAAAATAATAGAAATATTTATCCCAAAATAAAAAATAGTAGGAGTTACTATAGGAGTACTATCTTCAAGATGATCAAGCATATCATAATCTTTCAATGCACAGTGGATAAGATGAGTGTTGAAAATGTACTAAAACCTATGATAAATTTCTATCAATCTTAATGAATAAGATTGTTATCACCACACAATAACAATGAATTGTATGAAAGAAAAAAAGAAAGACAGATAAGACAATTATTTCCTGCAGAGTTTCTCTCTATCCACAAACTGTGGAAAATTTTATTCACTTGCAACTTGTAAACTTTGTGAACACAACTTGATTGATTTAATTACAAAAAATAGGGGTTACTCTCTCTATTTATAGATTTAGGTTAGTTTGCTCCCTAAATCAAAATCCAAAACTATGAAAGTCTAAAATATATATTTTGGAACTAAATCAAATCTATCTATTTTAGACCTAAATCAAATTTATCCAAATCTAAAATCAAATATGTATCAAATATGTGTGTAGCATCTTCGACACATCTGCTTCGACACTCTCTTGTCTTTATCGAATAAACTGTTTCGATACAAAGAATTATTTTCAATTGTGAAACCATTGAAAGTCAATTTTTCCCTCGAGTCAATGACCTTTTTAAATGACAAAAATCCTTATCATTGATTAAAATAGATATATATTTTGGAGGTGGTGAAGACGGTGGAGACAGTGCAGGAGGAGGCTGGTGTACTTTGATTAATATCTTCCGCCATTGGTAGAACGAGAGTCAAGGAGGTATTAAAAAATAACTGAGCTGTAAAAAACAAATACATCATAAATGAAGCAGAATGAGGAGGGCTAGACGGGAAAGGTGCCTGCATGTGGTGAACACTGTGGTGTGTGTGTGTTCATTTGTGGGGAAAATGGTCTTTAAGTGGGTCGAATGTGAATGACTAGTGATAAACGCTAAAATACAATTAGAAACAAAACAAGAGTGTCAATAGTGACGATACGAATGCATTAAAGGTGAGAGAATATACTTAGTGATAAAGGTTATTAAAAGAAGTAACAGTAATCTTTATTAAAGTTGAGAGAAAAATTTTTTAACAGTAATATTCTCATTAATATTAAATAGTTTGATCAATAATTTTATATTTTTTTTTGTTAATATTTAATATTTTAATTAGTAATTTTATTTTTTCGTTAAAATTTAATAGTTTGATCAACAACTTTAATTTTTTTTAATATTTAATATTTTGATCATTAACTTTATATTTTCTTTAATATTAAATATTTTGATCAATAACTTCATGTTTCTGTTATTATTCAAAATTTTGATGAGTATTTTCGTTATTATTCAATGTTCCCGTTAATATTCAATAGTTTGACCAATAACTTAATATTCTCGTAATTTTCAATAATTTCATTAGTAACTTCATGTTCTCATTAATATTTAATAATTTGATCAATAACTTATGTTCTCGTTAATATTTAATATTTTAATCAGTAATTTCATGTTCCGTTAATATTTAATAGTTTGATCAATAACTTCATATTTCTATTATTATTTAATATTTTAATCAGTGACTTCATATTCTTGTTATAATTTAATATTTTGATCAGTAACTTTATATTTTCATTATTATTTAATATAAATTTTTATAATTTTTAACTTCATGTTCTCTCTTATTATTAACGCGTGCAGTTATTTATAAATATTATTTTAAAAAAAGTAGTCAATATATCTACTAGATTTATTTTATTTAATGATCTTTAAAAAATATCCTTTATATATATATATATATATATATATATATATATATATATATATATATATATATATATATATATATATATATATATATATATATATATATATATATATATATATATATATATATATATATATATATATATATATATATATATATATATATATATATATATATATATATATATATATATATATATATATATATATATATATATATATATATATATATATATATATATATATATATATATAATAATTTAGTAGTATTAGTAAGAAATCTTATTAACGTGGTTCAATCATATTATTCAAAGAAAATATAAAATAGTAGTTAATTTTTCTGAATAAAAGTTGATATTTTGAAAAAAAATCAGTCGGTTTAAGTTTGTCACGGATTTATGAATCCCTCACAAGAAACTTGAAATAAAAAGCTCAAAAAATGAGAGTCATAATATGATCAAATAGGGCGATGTATTCATACATAAGGCAAATTGATTTTGAAATTCGTAACACTTATCTAACATAAATTAAATGTTATAATCACAATTCTCTTGAATAAAATACAATTGTCAAAGTGATTTTCTTCTTGGTCTATTGAGATATGTCTATTATTGCTACTTCTGCTTCTAAATATTTACACCAAGGTTTTTGTTAATCACTTCACCTGACTGAGGTATTGCTACTTTTGCTTCTAAGCATTTACACCAAGATTTTTGTTAATCACTCCACCTGATTGAGATAAGACTAATATTGCTACTTCAACTTCTAAACATTTACACCAAGATTTTTGTTAATCACTCCACTTGATTTATGCTAGATAAATGTTACGAATTTCAAAATATATGAATACATCACCCTATTTGATAAAATTATGACTCTCATTTCTTGGGCTTTTATTTCAAGTTTCTTGTGAGGGACTCATAAAATGTTAGTTGAACAATTAAATTTGTCCGCTCACACTATATGAAGCATCATTTCCATGGGTAGCTTCATAGTGCTTCTTCACCCTGATACCGTATTTGATAATAGCTTCATATTGAAAGTGGTCCCCCAATTTTAAACTCAAGTTTTCAGGAAGATGAAAATGACAAATTAACTTTATGAACAGTTCCAACGCGTTGAAGGTGTTGATAAACACACATTTGTAAGATCAAATAACCTGCAATCCATAGAACAAAAACAACAAAGAAGCATGCAATCATGTAATCATCATACAAGTCAATGATTTACAGTATAGGCCATAAAATTGCATATGGGTTCCCAATTAGTGAACTATTCATTGCTAAAGCATGTCATTGCTCAAAATGAACATAACAACTTATAAAGAAGATTCACCATACAAATATGGGGTAAGATACCCGTGCGTTCAAGAAATCAGCTGCTTATAACTAAATATAAGCTAAATACAAGCTAAACCAATCACATCATGGTCAAGATGGGAAATGGCATTAGACTGAGCTTTTTTTGATTTCGTCGACGTCTCCATCAGTGTAAGCAGCAAGAAACTTGCTAGCGCAACGATTGTGGTCATTTTTGAGAAAAGCTTCAATCATACAGACACCATAGCATTTTCACGCATTTTATCATCAATAACGAATCTGATTAATAGATTCCATGGAACATTTGATAAACTACAGAATTATGTTTATAATGATTCATATGTCACATGTTGATGTTGGTTGAGTTTACACTTCATTACGATACAGACAAAAGAACAGAGAGGAGCCAAAACTCTCCTCAGCATGATGCTTCAGCTCTTGTAGAATAGTGCCAGTAGAATAAATAAGATGCATCTATTTATTAGTCTGATCCAGAGTAGCCAAAAAGTAAGGCATTTGTTCCTCCAAAACCAAAAGAGTTTGACATAGCTACTATAATTGGCATCTCCTTTGAAGCAGTCAACTACATGAAATCATCACCAAAAACAGAATATGGCTTTGTTAAATTAAGAGTTAATGGAGCAATTCTGTGATAAGAACAAAAGAACCACACTACTTGATTAAGCATATCTACATTTCCTACCAAATACCTTGGTAATTTTGATTAAATTCCGTGCAAAACGTATTAGCATTTGTACTTATCATATAGTAACAAGTTGACAACTAACTGCATCAAATTCATTTTCTATCTTTACTATATTGAAAAGAAGTTTTCTTACAGTCGGGTAGTCGATGGATCGACTTGCTCAAAACTTTCAAACACAGAATCCCATTTGCTTGGATCAATACCTATATCACATACATAAGAAGAAAACAATTGTTATTTATTCTTGGATTGATTTTTATTTTGACAAAAGGGACAATCCTAAATGTAATTAATTGTCATACCATAGCCCGTGTCCTTAACTTCAAACCAAAATATCACATTATTGGGTAACTGTTGAATATTGTTCATTTGTGAGACAATCATCAGATATTAGAATGTCCAGTAATCCAATTACTGCTGCCATAGGTGGTATCTTAGTTCATGATTGTAATGCAACCAAGAAAAAACAGTCCATGAAGCACAGTTGCATACAACAAAAAAGACAGATTTTAAAAATTATAGTACATGACATATTCTATGGTCATGTCGAGTGTTTTCTGCTCAAATTTTAACAAATTACATTTTCTATTTAGATTAACCCAATAGTTTTTCTATTAAACTCATATTTACTACACTTGGTAAAAGTTTAGATTAACCCTATAGTTTTTCTATTAAACTCAAGAGATTATGTCCTTCTCGACGTGCCTCATGAAATGGATTTGATGCTAGAAACCATACCATTTTAAGAGTACTGTTTCATTGCAGACACCAATAGAACAGTTCAAAAATAATAATTTAATTAAAATGTGTTATCGAAAAATACCTTGTCCATTCCACGGCAAACCTTTGAGAACATCTCTCAGAGCAAAATAGTGGCTATCACATATGTGGTCTCTGTGAGGAAATTTCCGTAAAGGATTATCCTCTGAAAATGCTCACCTGATTACCTCTTCAAAAGAGTGTAAACTTCCTTTTCAACATCATTGTGAGATATTAAGTCCCTCTTCAGATAGTAAACAGTACCAGATAACTCTTTAGATACTGCAGGTTTAGTTTGCTAAACTTTCACGACAACTGAATTCTCCTTTGATGCTTTAGGGGGCAAAGGTGCTTCTCCGGTATTTGGCAACTCTTTACCAACTTTATCAACTATAAACACATACTAAAACAGTACCAATTGGATCAACTATTCACACACACCAAAACAGTTCAAATAGAAAGATCACAAGAGAAAGGCAACTAAAATTCACAAATGAGCATTAAACATCAAGAGGCACAAATTTAACTAACAGTTTATTATTTTATATGCAGATGGTGGCACTGTATGATAAGAACTTCTGAAAGCAAGCCAGAACTAAGTCGTCCTATTAACTCGATCATCGTATGTTCGGCTACAACTTGAACTCCGTCCTACCTTCTCACAGATCAGAAACTCTGGATTCTAACGCGGCTGCATAAATATATTGTTGATGAATGAAGAATGCATAAAGTTATTCCCTTCATGCAGCAATCACTATCCTCAGGCACTTGGGAAATATATATATATATATATATATATATATATATATATATATATATATATATATATATATATATATATATATATATATATATATATATATATATATATATATATATATAAAAGCTAGATAGCTTGATTTTAAGCAGATTTATAAGCTAGATAGCTTGATTTTAATAAGTAGAGTCTAAAATGGTTATGAGTTAAGCGCTCTAACAACCGTGTCCACCTAAGCTTCTATTCCTACATCTTTGTTGCCCGTCTCTGCCAAACTCTATTAAAATTCTAATTTCCAGTCCACCAGCATTAACTAACTCTAAACGCCTCAACTAACATAAACCAACACATTTGAAGGCTTACCTAGCATTCATTAGCAACTGAATTTTATGATTACTTCTTAGCTCTAAGTTGCCAACCAAGTCAACTAGTTCTCCAAAATTTGTCTCATTTAAATTGAATATCACCCATCATCCTAGTAATGTGGAATGCTAGGTAAGGTTAAATGATAGGATACGGGTTTTGGATCTTAGCCCTCAATGGAGAAATAGGAACGACATGAAAATATTCCGTTAGAAATGGAATTTCTATTATAGGAGAGAGTGAGGCGGAAAAGTTGTTAGTTAGTTAAGACAAATTTCCCTCTGGCTTAGGAGTTCATAGAACTCTGGTTTGCATTCTCTTTTTCCTAACAAATCATTCATTCTCGTTGTTAATGAAACATAGGCCGACCACTTTGATTGTTGATCTTGAATAACAGTCAAATTATTGCGAGCTAAAGACACAAGTTCACGAGGCATCTGTCATGCAACAGACTTTTCTTCACGCAACGCATCATACTTTTGGCATTCGATTGCACAGATTGCACACTACATAAAATTATATATCAGTTTACTACCGTTATCAATGTGTGTTGAATCAATGTGACATACCTTTTTATTGTCTTCAATGTAAGATCTAAGAAGGTAACGATCATACTTCTCTTTATCTTCATCAGATACTAAAAGATTAATCATATCTTGATAGCACCACAAGAGGGATCAGAACATCTCAGAATCAAACATCCTGGACCATCATTAATTGAAGTTCCAATATATCCTGGCATATAAAAAAGGATAGACAGAAGAACATGATCCAACAGACAATAAAAAGAATTGGAAGAAAATAATATTAAAGTATACATGCATTAGGACCATATCATTTGTAATAATCATGCATCAGAGTAGTAGTTTTTGGAAACCAAGTGAGTGAAATATACAACACAAGTAATACCTCTCCATCATGAAAAGCTATATGGATGGCCACAAGAAACAATTTGGATCTTTGCACCATGATCTGAGTTCAGCCTTGCATATATTGGCAAACATATCCAAGATCCCTCTGTTACAATTATGTGATAATCATGTGACAACTCTAATAATTCACAAGATGTCTCTTAACAAATTCACTTGCAACATAGAAAATACAAATAACATTTAAAAGAACGTTAAACAGATAGATTGCCAATGAATTGCTGGTTATGACACTCACTATTTTAGTCACAAGTTTTGGTAGACATTGATGGACACAACAATGCTTCTTTGAATCTCACAATTCCTCTTTATTCGAAGAAGAATCATATTCATGAATCCACATTTGAATTTTCCTCACAACCTACGATAAGATTCGTCAAATAACCGAATAAATGAACAATTAAGCAACTATAGATGATTAAACAACATTTTAAGATGAACCTTGGAAATCATGTCTTCAGAGGATGAAATCTCTAGAACACGACAAAGGGTAGCAAGAACTGCAATCGGCAGGTTCAAATAATCATCCCGGTTGTTGTCACCGCTACTGGATATGGTTCCTCTTCCCATACGTTTTTAGTAGAAGATAAAGATAATGTCAATAATATATTACGAGCTGAATATGGTGGGAAATCAGTGGATAATGGAAAATATAGTACCCGTTCTAAGTAGTTGATTAAGAAAGAGATAACTAACAACCTCATAAACCTTGCGCGGTGAGGAGCGATCGTCAGCTTTGCAAAACTTGGTGACCAAAAGAAGTCCAGCAAGACGCTATTCATCTCGGTCTCCTTTCAGTAATTTCAAACAATCCTCAAAATTCAAACTCTGGCTCTGTTGTGCTTCCTTCAAAAATGACATTCAAATTTAAAATATTAAAAGCAGCGGGAAAGAAGAAGAGGAATCAAAGTAGAGAAAACATGAGGTTGTAGTCGTGCGTAGAAATCGCCGTCGTCGGTCAATACGAAGAAGATGAGACGAAATTTGTGATAGTGATGATAGGAAAAGAAATGTAGCGGTAAAGATTTGAGATTTAAGCCATCAATTGACTTATCTCAATACAATGAAGTCGTCACCGCACTTTATTGTTTATAAAGGGAAATGAGAAAAAAGTGAAAAAAAAACCCAAAAAGATCAGAGATCGAGGTACGGGGGTCGGTTATGTAAAGGAAAAGTATTAGCACCCTAAGCATCTACGGTATTCCGCATGATCCACTTTGTTTGGTTTCTTTTAAAAGGAGTGTCATGTAAAGGTTTACTTGCTAAAGGGGAAGAATGAATGAGTATTTGTAAACAAAAGAAAATGAAATGTTATTTTTATTGCTCGCTTTGGGTCATAAGACTTAATGCCTGCGTACTCCCTCGTGCAATGGGAAAGTCAGAACACCGTAGTTCGGCTAGAAAAGACTTGTATGTTGATTGTTTTTAAATGAAGAGACAAGTCGTCATTGTTAGGAGAGAAATCTCGACTAACGCCTACAAGGTGTGAGAAAGATGGGCACTGCGTTAGCAAGAGTGAGGGTTTGAGAACGCCTCTAGTACTCAAGTGGAAAAGTCGACACCTTTATAACCATGGGGATAGGAGAATGTTGCTCGACTATCAATGAATCATGTCTCATCTTGAAAAAGTTTTGGAGGGTAAAGGTGCTCGAGCGCACAAAAGTGAAGTAGTGAAAAACACAAGAAGGGGCGGTTGAATTGTAAAACTGAAAATCAATGCAATTAACAAGCTATTTTTATCCTGGTTCGTTTGATCTCAAACTACTCCAGTCCACCCGTCAAGGTGATTTCGCCTCTCTCCAACGAGGTCTTAATCCACTATATTCAACTGAATATTACAAACTGCTTTAACAACTGTTAAAGCCTTCTTGATGCAAACCACAACCCGGTTTGTCAAGGAAACACTTTCTTACAAAGAAGATAAATCTAAGTGTGTGAATGTTTTCTACAAAACTGTATCACAATTGTGATGTATACACAACTTTAAGCTTATGAAACTAGATTGCTAAAACAATAATTGAGTAAGAGGATATGTAGCGTTTACCAAACTGAGAGAAGGAAGATTATGATCAGCTTTTAGGCGTGTAAAGAGTTAGAGAGCATTAGCCAATTCAATCTTCATAGTCTTGTTTATATAGCACTGAAATTCTTGAACGTTGGAGCAATATTCTTGATTCAATGCTAATAACAAACTTTCCTTATTGAGCAGATCTTGTCTGGAATGAGGCCGTTGGTAATAATTTGCTTTCAATGCATAGTACCGCTGCTTACTTAATGCATGTTCTGGCTTGGCTCATTCTGACTCTGCTTAACTGCTGATGAACTGTTGTTTTATTTATCAGAGTGTTGAGCGCAGTTCTGTTCATCAGGCTTCAGCATACACGTGAGTTGATCTTCTGATTCTGGTATTCTGATATAGCAACTTCTGATGCTGATGTCAACAATCAATATTCTGATGCTGATTGGGTGTGATCTTGCTTATACCTATCAGAGTATCTGCAAATCAGAACGTAATAATTTAGGCAGCAAATAGTTCATACATGAATCATATAAATAATATATCTTTTCATTTTGTTATCATCAAAACTTAAACATAGGGTAGTAGATTCAAACATTGTTCTAACAATCTCCCCCTTTTTGATGATGACAAAAACTGGATATTTTTAATTGAAAATAACGTGAAAAGGTATCAGAGATATGTATCAGAGTAAGAGGTTATCAAAGATAAGGGATAAGAGATGAGAGATACTCCCCCTGAGTTTATTGCTTCCCTTTTTGATTCCAAGAGTTCTTCAGGATCAGATCTTTTTGCCTTTCTTTGAACATCATAGTATCAGAGCCTTTGACTATCAGAAGCTTTAGATTAGCATATCAGAGCAGAGCTTCAGATCAGCGTATCAGAGCTTTTCTTGTCAGAGCTTTGCTTTGGGTCAGAGTATCAGAGCGGATCAGAGTGTCAGAGCTTTAGTCTTCAGAGTATCATGGTGCTTTCTTGTACCTGTAGACTTAAGCAAAACAGAAAACATTTTCAAGTGTAACAGAGTTAGAATGTTCGAGAATTTTTGTCTTAGTAATCCGTTATTATTTAAAATATCATTCTTGTTCTCCCCCTTTTTGTCAGCAATCAAAAAGTGTAAGTGATGTGCTAAAACAATTAAGATCAGAAAAACTTGTCATATTAAAAGGTTCAGAATCAAACAAAACATATTAAAACAGTACAACAGATAATCAAAGAAAACATGAAAATGACATGAATGAAAAAACTAAGGTTGAGGAGGAAAGCGTGTGAACAGGTTCTCCAGCATGGCTTTGATCTGATCAGCAGTCTCATTCTGCTTGTGCACCATGCTTACAACTGTGTCAATCTTGCTATCCCGCACATCCATTCTTTCTTTCATCTTCTGGTCGTTTTCATCCATCCTCTGCTGCAGACGCATGTCATTCAGCTTCAGCTCTTTCAGAGTCTGCCTGTCCAAGGCAGCTTGAGAAACATCAGAGGCAGGGAGCTTCTGAGAGCTTTCTGCAACATCTTCTGCTTGACTTGCTTCAGCTTGAATGGTCTTGTCTTCTTCTGGTTGCACCTTTGAAGCTAGCTGTTTCTCAGACCAAGGCTCACTATCCAGAGGGAGCACGGCTTCCTGAGGCAGCTGACTTTCAACTTCCTTCAGCAGCTTGCTGAAGTTCTGTTGTGCCTGCTCATAGTTGATATCCTGCAACTTGAGGGCTTCAGCACGTACCCAAATTCTGAATTGTGACCAGAGCTGGTCAGAAGCAGCTGGGTCAATTATTCTAGGACAGACTTGCTTCAAAGAAGTAATCCACTGCTGCACACCTGTTTCAAAATTCATAATACCAGAGCCAACATCTGGTTGTTTTGGTTTTGGGATGGCTATTTTATTTTTCAGATCAGCAAGACGGTCAAAGATTGTTAAGTCTATGAAGGTCCTGCTGGGGTTTTCGGTGGTTTGCTTGGCAGCTGTTTGTTTTGGAGATGGAGTGGGAGAATCAGAAATTATGATTGGACTGTTTGGTGTTTTGGGAGTGTTTGGTGGTGTAGATTCTGATGAGGATGGCAGCTGGGCCATTGTGACTATTGTTCCACATGGCAGCTGGATTGCCAGAGGTGATGGTTGAGGTGAATGAGGTTCAGAAGGTGGAGGAGAAGGAGTTTCAGAGTGATGAAACTCAAGTTGAGGTGATGGTGGATGAATTTCTGGTTGAGGAGAGGGAGACAGAATTGCTGGTTGTTCAGGGATGAGAGGTTCTTCTGGAATGGATGAGAGAGGTTGTTGTTGTTCTGGTTCCTCAGCAGATTGCTGTTGTTCTGGTTGTGGAGGAGGGACAATTTGTGGTTCAGAGTTTGGATTGGAGGAGTGATCAGAAGTGTGTTGATCAATGTTAGACAACACTTTGTCAATTGCTGATGTTGTTGATATTGTTGGTTTTGGGTGTTTGGTTCTGGGTCTTCTGAGTTGTAATGCCTCAGAAGGGTCATCTTCTGGTTCAGTTTCATCTATTGTTGGGATGGGGATTGAGATTCTATGAGAGGTTGGAGGTGGAATAGATGCTGGAATAGTAGAAGAATTTAAAACAGAAGCAGCAGATAAATTACCTCTTTTCTTGGGTGTCTGTTGGGATGATCCTTCTGAAGGTGCCTTCCTCTTCTTCGTCTTCTTCAGAGTCACTTCTGGTTGAGGTTGATGCAGATCTTTGATCTTCAGATT